CAAATTTTGGTGAGTATGTGGTGAAAAAGGAACTCTTCTACACTGCCAGTGGAAATGCAAACTGGTTCACCCACTATGGAGGGCTGTATGGAGTTTCCTCAGACTACTAAAATGGAGATATTATATGACCCAGCAATTCCGGTTTTGCGTCAAAAAACACAAAAACATCGATTCAAAAAAATATCTGTAACCTTAAGATTTTTGCAGCATTTATAATAGGTAAAACCTGGAAACAACTCAACTGCCCCCCAAAAGATGGCTGGATGAAGATGTGGTATATATACACAATGAAAACTGTTCAGCAATGAAAAAAGATAAAATAATGTCATTTGCAGCAACATGGATAGAACTAGAAGGAATTATGCTTAGTAGGAAAAAGAAAAATATTGGATAGTTTCACATATAGGAATAATATAAGGGAACCAAATATGACATCAGGTGAAAAAACAAAATTACAAAACAAATCTAAAACAAAAAGACAATTAGAATCCAGAGACATCATGCAGGGGGTGGAGGGGAGAGAAAGAGTTTGGAAGAGGAGAACAAGGGACTGTGGTGATGGCGTGCAGGTGAAGTGGGGGAGGAAATTCCATGGGGACTATACGTGGAGGGGGGCGTAAGTAAATATTATTTGAAAATGAGAGAAACAAGATCTCATTTCAAGTCACACACTATACAAACCTGTCCAAAAACCTCTTCATTAACAGTGAAAGTGAGGTCTAGGATATCTGTGATGTTGTTGTCTTTCATCCATTGCAAACTCTGGTGGAATTCTTCATCCAAGTATTCTAGGTCACTCAGATCACAGGGCCTGGCACATTTAAATGGAGAAAGGTAAACAAAATTATGAAATAAAAGTGATTGTCCATATTTCATGCCAAATTATTGTTAAGCCATTCTAGTGTAAAACAACACAGGCATTCTAATAATTGATGCATTTGAGTAAACAGATAAGTCTTTTTAATTCACTCAATATTTATTTTGAAAGGGAACATTAAAATATGTACAATAAAAATATTAAATAAGTATTGGAGTGATATATAACTTAAAAACAGCTAAGGTGGGGGTGCTCTTTGGTAACTTAGGGATTAAGTCTCAGCGCTATCATCACTTCCTCCTGAGTTCAATTCCCCGGCCAGGAAATTAACGTATGTGGTGCAGCAGACCTCTTCTGTCTCCCCCGCTGTTTCTCTAAGCAGTGTATTTCAGTCAATATACCCGCTCTGCTTTCCCTTCTGTCTCTGGTGAGTCCTCTCAGCCCTTGCACCTCTGGCTTATTTTTTAGTTCTTCTATGCAAAAATAAAGTTAAAAAAACTTAAAAAAAGATCAATTATCTAATAAATTTTTCTGCAATGTTGTAATTACTTACATAAACTGAATTATCACCATTATTTGATGTTATAGTAAATTCTCTCCTATGCCTACATAAAATCTCCAATGCTTTTTAGAATGGATGGTTTTCATTGTTCTCCCTAAGCAGTTAGAAAAGTAAAACAAACAGAAATGCATAGGGCAAAATGGGAACAAAAAGGCCAGAAGCACCAAGAGGCCAGTGCATGATGCCATTCAGGCAGGGCTGGGGAACCACAACTGCAATATACTTACAGTCTCAGAAGTGCCTTGTAGAAGGGTCTTGTAAAGAAAGCATCTAGAAGGTATTGATGGATCAGGGCCAAACCTAGGATACGACCACTAAATCTGAACCTGCAACACAGACAAGGCAGAAAAACTTATCTTACTACAAGTGCTTAGCATGCAGTAAAGAAACTGTCCTTTTCTTCCAAATACTTGAATAGAATTATCATTTTTTCCAGAATCTCTTACTAGAACCAGGAATATAAGAACCCAAGAGAAGAACAGTGCTGGTGGAAATGAACTCTGGAAACTTACATGGATATCCCACATTGAGCTTGAGGTGGAACTGGACACACAGACATAGACAACTTTCTGAATCACTTGTCTTTACCCATTTAAGCATTATAGAGATACCTGCTGAATATTATGTCTGGAGGTGAGGTTTTGAATATGAATTACATCTGGCAGTTGTGCCTATGGTAAAGGGGAAGAATTACATGGAATTCTTATTGTGGTAAGATATAAGCTGAACCTAAACTGCTATTTAGTATTTGCAGCCACATATGTAGAAAGAACAAGAAAGAATTGGTCACATAGATGTGGCCATTTCCAGAAGTAAGGGACCTTATTTGGAAAAAAATAAATAAATAAAGGATTCCAGTGGATTTTGCCTGTCTTTGGCACTTACCTCGATAGCTGGGCTCTCCTTGCTCTTTTTCTACCAGAAATGATTTTCACATAAGCATGAATTCACTTGTGACCCTTTTCAGATCCTCCCAGTTTGAATTCCTCCCTAACCCATCTCCAATGTCTTTTACAAGGCACTTTTTTTTTTAAAAGATTTATTTATTTGTGCATACAGAACTGGGGTACAGGCCAGAGGCTCAGGGGCGGTGAGAGGCTTCACCAGAGACAGAGTGGGGAGCAGAACAGGCAGATCGACGAAGTACACTGCTGAGGGGAGCAGTGGGCGGGTCAGGAGAGGTCTGCCACACCATGCGGTCACCTCCGGGGCAGGCGGAAATCGAACTCAGGCAGAAGTGGCTTTAGATTCTCAGCGCTGTGCTTCAACCGGCTGCGCCACAAGGGAGGGCCCCACAAGGCACTTTTTAAATTCAAAAGTGTTCCTGTTCTATAACTTCTATAACAATTGTTAACATGAATATTCAGTTTTGTAAAATGAGTGTAATATAAACAACAAAACTGAAAATTGACATGTTTGAAGTAGCAGAGTTGCTGCAGTCCTTAGAGTTTACAGGAGCTACTTTTTGAGTTCACTCACTGTTCTTTAGTCCCTATGCCAGCAAAGTCACTTTGGGGCTTGGCCTTTGGGCTTAGGGAGAAGTTACCCCATTCATTTACATCTGCACTGGAGGTTCTATTGGTCAGTCTGCTTTGCTCTGCCATTCTTCCTCTTCTCCTGGAGTGTATAGCTTCAGAGCACCCCAGCTTTCCTGCTGGTGTTTTGCTTTCTGTTGGCTTTCCTTGGCAAGCACATCAGACATGTCCATATATATTTGATGCCAATAAGAGGGACCAATCAATTTCTCTTTACAGAAGGGCCCCAGGCACATGCTACATCACACACAAAAGTGCACAGAATGAGTAGATGACCAAGGACAAAGTAGATAAACCATATGACACACTGCATTTACCAGACATTGCTAAATCCATATGTAGCAATACCACACTGAATCCTACTAGAAGCCTTCCCACAGCACTAGAAGTAGACTACAAACTTTCCTTCTATTTCAGACACTTGAAGGATAGACACCTAGATGGGTCAGGAATGGGGGAATCCTTTAAAAGTAATCCTCAAGAGGTAGAAAAAGGAAGCTCCATTTTGCTGTCTTGCATGTCATGTGAAAACTTCCCAGGAGATTCTGATATAACTCACCTTAAGATATATCATTATATAAAAACATATGAATCAATATGAGCAATAAACATTTATATTTTTCAATTTACCCCATTGAATTTGTAGTTAGTAAATACATTCCCTAGTACTCTTAGTTCTTTTCATATCCATAATTTTCAATATATTACAACCTTTGATTTTTGTACCACTGATGCCTACTCTCTGCCTAAGATGAATAATGTAACTGGATATTTTTTAGTGTAAGGAAAAATACAGAAAAGAAAACATCAAGGAAAAATACCTCAAATCCATCACCCAAGGCAAATCCTTGATCCTGTTGAACATCAGTGAGCACAGACACACTTGTGTAAATGAATCCCCTTGCCATTTCTGCTCCTCTTCCATTTTCCTGTCTTCACCCCATAGAACAGTATAAAGACTCTCACATATATGCAAATTTAGATTTTTCATCATCCACTTAAATAAGCTGGAAATAATCCAGTTTAAGTAAATATTGTATGAAAATTCTTCACTTGCTAACCCATTCCCACTCCCCATTTTTCTTCACCTGCTCACAGGTAATGGTGAGGTAGCATGTAGCCAGTCAACACTGGGAGAAATTCTGGGATGTCCCTCTTCTAGTGTCACAATGAAAACCATTGCAGTAATTTTGAACTTTCATGAAGACATTGATTGTGGCATGAGATCTGTAAGGAACTAGTGTTATTGGCAAGGATTTATATCAGCTCCATATGAATTTTGCATATTTTAGTGAGAATTCTAAAGTTCATCTTTCCACATGGCTTAAAGGCCCAATAAAATTTTGCCTCTTGTCTTGAATGTTAGTTGACTCATTATTCTTTGAACTCTTTGCCAGTAATCCAAAAAAGACTGTATGGTGAGAGGACAACATTACAAACACCAATGTCAGGCTGTATTGGTTTGATTCTTCTGACTTATGTGACTTTGGGCAAGTTGCTTATAGTCCATGGATCTCAATTTACAAATCTACAAAGTAGCATTCACAATGGGATGTTTTGTGTACTGTAATCACTAAAATATTATGAGACTTTATCCAGTAACTACTACAGATCAGTTTTCCTGAGCTTTTGTAGCAATAGAATCAATGATGTCCTCAGACTGGCATCCTTGATCTCCTACGCAGATGTTGAACTCAGAACCCTGGGCACCGATGTTGTATTGGATGTAGATTGGGCCAGTGGACCAGCCTGCATGTTACAGTTGTTTGCATCTCTACTCTGCTTATAAATAACATTCACCTATCACAGGGTCTGCACAGATAAGCATGCAGTCAATATTTGATGAATAATTAATTTGAAAATTATTATTTGTTTTTATCTCAGTGGAACACAATTATACAAACCTATTGAAAATTCCTGAAATATCACATATCAAAACATACACTATCTATAGTAGATCTCCATCAAGAAGAAGCAGAAAGCCCAAATTGGAGAGGTGTGTTTAGATGGTTGAAGTAATTGTTTGAAAGGTGGTAAATGGTAAATACCAAAAAGATTCAGTAGCAGTGGGGACTCCTTTTCTCTCACTCTCCAATCTCTATTAAATTATTTGTTGGAAGATGTTTTAGCAGGAGGTAGTATAAAATGATTTCACAGTGTATTTTTCAATTGCTTCTTGAAATAAAACAACCTGCATACTGGCAAAAAAATGCCTTTGGGAAATTTGGAAGAGGGAGCGCTTGTTCACAGACTGGATTTGTGGAAGGGAAAACAAGGTAGTTTGCCAAATAAAGAAAATGAGAAACCTACATTTGGATGCAATGTAGTAGGGAAAAAATGATTTTAAAAGACTTCCAGTTAAATAATGAAAATGATAAAAAAAAAGTTAAATCCTCAGTATAGTGCCCAGCTTATATACAAGACTGAAAGATTTACTGTGGTATTTATAGCAGTTTCGTCTCCTGACATTAAACTTGGACCTCCGAACATTTGTCTCAAGCTCTCTTGATTGTGGTGGCCTTCTCAGTCTCCTCTTGCCTTTTAAGCCATAAGTCTCTCTGTTTGACTCTTGACTTCCCCTTCCCTCTTTCCCTCTTTCTCTCCTTCCTTCCTTCCCTCCTTTCACTGTCTCCCTTCCTTTCTTGCCTTCCTTTTTCCCTTCTCCTCACCTTCTCTTTTCATTTTCCTCCCTCTCTTCTCTTTTTTCCTTCCTCCCTGACTTTTGTAGGGCACTATCATGGTTTAACATGATAGTTCATACATCAGTTTCACCAGTATGATATCCAAAGCTTTCTCCAACTACTGGCGTTTCTGCCTGATAGGGGATCACATAATATGTTGGAGAGTTTAAAAGAAGCTGGAAAGTTGATGATAATGGTCTTGGATCTTGTTACCTTTGGTAGGGGGTAGGGAATTAAGGCAGATGAAAGAACACATCCTGTGCACAGACTGCAGACTTTGAGGTTCTTCCCAAGTGTGATCGCATCTTCTGAGACATAAACACCTGTAAGAACTGGCACTGTGTTATAAAGTTTGAGGGGCTCAAAATATTTTACTGTTAGTGAATGAAACTAGAAGAATGATAAAAATGCATCCCTGTTTGAATGTCCCCAGGACACCATCACAGAGTTCTGAGTCCCAAACCTTGACTCTGACTGCATAAATCATTGCACAGCCTACCTCATGCAGTTTGACAGCCAAGTCGTTTGTGTCAACTGAGTTCCAGAAGACTTTCTGTAGCAGTCATACATCCCTGCTAATTCCTGGAATTGAACCAGAATGTGCAGAAGGTAGAGTCCTTTCAGAAGTTTGTTCAACCTTGTCACTACTAATATTTGCTGTCCTGCACATTGTAACACATTTAACACCATCCAGGCACTTCCCACTATATACTAGTAGCATTCTCCTCTGCACCAAATTGTGATAATAAAATTGTGCCCTGATGTTGCCAAATGTTTCCAAAGGGGGTGGAGGCAAATCCACTCACTCTTAAGAATCATTGGAGAAATGTAATGAAGAGACTGGAATCAATCTTTCTTCTAAAAACATCTATGAAAAAGGGATGGTAGATCCTGGAAAAACCCAGACTCTTTCAATTGACTGTACAGCACATGGACTATTGATGCACAGGGAGTTCAAAAGCCAGAGAAAGATCTCATTCTCTGGTGGAGTCAGGCCACTGGTGCTGACTCCTCCCAGCAGACCAGGTTTCTGTTCAAGCCTCCTACTATCCTACCATGCATCTGAGGCCCTCAGGCATCCCTGAGTGAGCATCACTGACCTCAGTGTCA